TCCATCTCACCCCTTCTTTACCTCTGTCTCATGCCCTCTTGGTTCCCAATATTCATTGCAATTTATTATCTGTTGGGCGTTCACTTGATATACTTAACGCTTCTGCTACCTTCTATTTTACCCATTGTTTTTTCCAGGATCTCAGGACTCACGAGAAGATTGGGCATGGTAAACGGATAGGGGGGTTGTATTACTTACAATTGCCGGCAGCAGCAGTTCGTGGTTGTGTCGCTAATAAAGCTCCGAGTGGCAGTGTCAAAGACAAGCAACAACTTTGGTTATGGCATCGTCGCTTAGGACATCCGTCGTTTGGTTATTATCCTTTTCTCTTGAATTTCCATTTATGAAAAACATATCAATGTTCATAGCTTAAGATACTTGGAAGAAGTTTTGTTTTTGAATTTAAACAACCACCTTAGACTTCCGCTGCGATTAATTTGATTAAATGTATGTTTAATATTCAAATGAACTTTGGAAAAATATTTTGAAATTCCTACAGATGACTGCACTCGCTTAACATGGGTGTATTTAATGAAGAATAAACATGATGTTGCCTCTATTTTTCCTGACTTTTGTGCCATGGTGTCTACTCAGTTCTATGCTCGTGTTAAAGTTTTTCACACTGATAATGGCAGTGAATATGTGAATCATACCTTGGCCCAATTCTTTCGTGATCAAGGTATCATTCACCAAACTACCACTCCATTCACACCTCAAAGCAAACAACAAGTGAAAGAAACTTTGAAGACAGACAACTAGTTTTAAATTCGACACCTATGTTAAAAGGTACAGGTTCCTCATTTCAAATTAGGAATATTAAATAAAAAATAAAAGGCAAATGCTATTTATTAAGTTGGTCACCGATATCATCCACATACAAAGAACCATAAACTAAAATGAAGAGAGAGATGACAGAAGCAAGAGGACGAAAAGACAAAAAAACTTGTTTCAGTTTCGAGCTATTTGATAATTCAATGACCTTTGATTAAATTTCATAAATATTAACATGTTACAAAACTCACAACGCAAAAAAAAAAAATTAAAAAAAAACAGAGAAACTAGTTGTCATACCTTAACCTAACATAGACGCAGTAGATGAAGAAGTGGTGAAGGAGGAATTCGCCAACTCAGTGGTTGAGGGGTTGTCTACGACCTCGTTATTACGACAAAAACAAACCAGATTTATTTTTCTAGAATCAAAATCAAACTAGAGTGTTCATGTAGCAGCAAGTCTGATTTGATATTGTTAATCACAAAAACAAAGAAATAACCTGAGAGGGAGGAAGAGACGGAGACTGAGAGATGCAGAGGATGGGAGGGAGAGACGAGGGACTCAAGATTGCTTGGCCTCTAATGCCTCGGTTTTGTAATACTTGGAGCATTAAAATCGTGACCACCGTCGCAGCAAGCATCTACCAGTCGCCGAGAACCCGTACCCACCAAAAAAGAAAGATGAAAGGAGGTGGAGTCGGCAGATTTGGGCAGTAGAGTGGATCTGATCTCATTTGGAGAAAGAAGGCTTGAATAAAGAAGCAAGGATGGGTTAGAGAGGAAAGAAGAAGAAGAAAAAAGGATAAGAGAGTGTCGGCACAAAGAAGAGAGGCAAGAAGAAAAAAAAAAGAAAAAAAGAGAGGTAAAGGAAAGATGGGAGTGGCGGCTGAGTTAAGAAAGTAGGGTTAGGTTTTTCTTTTGGGGTTCTTTAACCCCCTTCTCTCATAAAAAAAGAAAAAGAATGTAGGGTTATTATTATTAATTGGATTTGGGTTATTAATTAAGTTATTTGGCATTTGGGCTGCTGGCATATTAAGCCTCTTGTTTTTCTGTTTTTGTTAGAAATGTTATATAAATAGTAGTTTATGATTTTTTTTATGTAACTTTTATTTATTAAATCTTATTTCATCTTTAAAAAAAATTATGAACATTTTAAAGGAAATAGTAGTATAGTAGATAAAAGAATCTTGAGAAGAAAATAAAATGTGTCCAGTCACAATTGATATGTAGTTTATAATCACAAATAACCATTCCTTTTGTTGTGAATTTCTTTTGATTATGGTGTGTTTAGTCTTTTTTCATTAATTACTATATATTTTCTACACTCACAATGTTTGCCAGCTCGCTATATAATCAACTTAAATCAGTTAAA